GTTTGTATTAGGTGACTGATTTTCACTCTTTGCTAAACTGAAACTTGTAATAATTCCCTTTCTTGAGTTGTTCACTTGATTTGTAGTTTCTCTGACTAAAACATGACATATCTATCTTTAAACCCTATTTTTTAATAGTGACTTCAATCGTATGTTCACACATTGAAGTTGAAACAAGGTCAGTCACCCCAGTTTTAAAGATGATTGCAACTTTCAAGTAATGCATTTGAAATACATAACATATTTCTGTATGTTTGTTAACAGGACTGAGTGTGACTTGGTATACCAGGCCACAGATTTGAAGGTTCAAGATTCAAGCTTATGACATAGTACTAGGGTCTGCTTTACATTTTCATCTATGGGTGTGTTATGAAAGTGGCCATAATTTTTACTATTAAGTTAAGAGCAGCTATGTAGGTAGCAGGTGCTCCTGACTGATTTTCTACCCTCTGGTTGACAGTTTTAAAGTAAGAATGGCTGACCTGAACATTTGGAGTCTGATATGGTTTCTTAGATCATGTTTACCATAATGTGCTGCTTTATAATACTGTATGATAAGTTCTTCCTGTAGTGCTTCTTAAACCTTCATATTTCTCTTATGTTCTAATACTTCTGTTAGCTGGAATTGTGGTTCATGTTCTCTTTTATTGTGGGCTGTATATGTTTTTTAATTAGTTATTTTTTAGAACATGTACATCTTCATTTGTTTTGATATAATTTTCTAAATATTCCAGTTTTACATTTCTATACAATCTCTAAACTTTTATAACTTTTCACAAGAACAAAAAGTACTAAAATTATTTTGAGTTATCATGCATATCTTTTTATTAAAATAAAATCTGTGAATATACAAAATAGCTAAGTGTACAAATTCCTAGTTGTTGCAGTAATTTTGTTATATTTTGCAGTTTATGTTGGTTGTTACAGTGTAATTGCATATATTTTCATTCTCCTTTAAGTTATTAATATTTTTTTGAGGTAGCAGGGTGTTATTGAGATCTCAGATTGCGTGTGAACTTTGACATTTCAAATGGTTAGTATTTTCTGATTTGGTTAAAATTTCTGAATTTGGGGTATACTTAAATAGATAACTTTCAGTATGTGTAACAATAAGTTTAAGTAAACTCAAAATTTTAATAACAATGGAAAGAAATGTATTCTTTGGTTCAAGGTTGGCAGCTTTCTTGACAATGACAAGCTGTTTATTCTCAATACAAGTCCACAACAAACCATCTGTTAACTAATCAACATTAAGCACTTGAATTTTGTTATTTTTTTTTCTTTCTTGCTGCTTGCAATATATTTTAACATGTATATCCCATTAACATGAAACAGGTTTAGATGCAACATGTATCCCAGAAGTTTTATTTTTCTTACTTTTATAATTTTTTTTATTTTCAATAATTTCCTGTGATCTTTATAAATATTTTTTTTCACAATGAGCCCAATTTTGGTTCATAAAGTAAATTAAAGATATTTATAGGTACTTATTTGTTATTGCAGTAATAAGTTTAAAAGTACTGGTATTGTTTGATCCTTGCTACAAGTTGTGATCCAAGAATTTTACATTAAAGGAAGTATTGAATGTGGGTAATATTTATTAATTAAATTAGCTACATGGGATTCATACCATTCAAATGATCCATCAGATAGTACGTAGAGCTTGGTGAATAGTGGTATTTGTTCATTGATTAATTGATGGTCCCATTACTCCTATGTGCATTGGGTCAGTCCATTGGACTATAAGCCTGTATTGGAGAATTAATGTTTACTATAAATTTTATAGTTCTTAATTTACTTAATGTATCTTCATAAACGTGGTAAGCTTTTAGTATACAAGTATGTTGTACACAAAAAAAGCAGAATTTTTAATGAAGTATTTCTACTAAACTTTGTCTCTGAATTTACCTTAGGCTGACTCAGACTCTGATTAGTCAGAATGCAAGCTGATTTTCATGTTTATATAAAAATACTTTTTTTTCTTACGGTTTCGGATTTCATTTACATAGCTACCAGAACCTTCTGAATGATTATCAGAAGTTTTTCAATAAAACTTTCTCATTTTCCCTAGCTTAATATTATACAGGCTTGGACCATTTAACTGACTTTGAAATGAAACTACCACAAATAAGTGTTGCATGATACATAAAGTGAAGATTGAGAATTTATTTAAATATTTTCTTTTGAAATTAAGAAACTGATAATAAAATTTGATTTATTAACTATATTTTGATGCCAAGTTTATTGGTATGAATTTATTATAAAGTTGAATGACATTTTCAATATAACCCTATAAAACATTTTGACATGCTCACTTTATATTGATAAATCAGTGAAATCGCTCAGCTCAAGTATGTATCATGAATAGCTACTTTGTACATATCACTAATATTTAACTCTCAAACCTGACTTGTGCTGTTTCCTATCAGTGAGGTTTGCATATTTCATCATACTGAGTAATTTTAGAGTTTTGTATGTTACATTATCTGTGTAAATAACTGATTTTTTTTAAAAAAAGTTTGAACTCACTCATTTTTATTTAAAATGCATAAGAGATCCCAGCAGTAATTTGCAGGACTAAATGAAGTGTTGAAGGTATTTTTATTTAGATTGTTTTATAGGAGTTGTATGTTTCCTGCAACTAGTAGTCATGGCTTTGCAAGCAGTTGAGTGCATAAAAAGTTTTGAAAAATTTGTTTAAAAAAGTCAGAGACCCATATTCTGTAAATCTTTGGTTTTGTAAGATTATGTAGAAGCACATGAAAGTCTGGAAATTATACTTTATTGCTTGCTTTCAAACATAAGGCAAGCAGTAAGGAGTACTTATTAAATGCATGTTATAATTAATTTAATTATAGATAAATGAATTGCAGTGCCACATTTTAAAAATCGTGGCTTGATCGATTGCACTGAAAATGAAGTATTGAATCTGGTCGGTTGTTCAGGTAACAGGAACTGATGAAAAAGTAATTCAGTTTTTTTATAATAATACATCTTGCATCTGAACACTGTAATTCATTACAAATGTCCTGTTTTTATTTTTTCACACCTTTCTTTCTCTTAATTTATTTCAAATTTTTTAACAAATACATTCCTATTGTTACCTTTTATCTGGCAGGTGGAATCACTGCATGTATAGGGATGGCTCTGATTGTTCATCAAAATGATACTTTAAATATCTCCTCAATAGGTCATCAGAACTTTACTATACGGTGTTTCCTATTATAACAATATCTATGTAATGAACGAGTCAAGATCTGAGATTGTCTGGGACATCATAGCAAGAAGTTTGAATTTTTTGTTCTTTTTTTAATACATGAGAACTCAAAACCAAAACAGTAGTGTCAACCAATTTATTTGAGGTGACATAGTTTCGAATGGAGTATCCACTTTTAGATGTATTATTAACTAGTAGTGATTAAAGAAAAAAGAATCATAGTGTAAATGATGTTATCATTACCCCTAGAAGTTAGGTTTCTTACAGAAATTTGGTAATCTTTTAAACAGTTTAAATACAGGAT